GAGTTCCGGGCGAACGCTCTAGACCGCGGGAGGACTCCCGCTCTACTGCCCTGCCCTGCCCACCCCTCCATCATTGCAGCGCCTGGTGAATGCTGCCATAAATGCAGCCCAGCCCAGACCGTGCCAAGCAATGCTCGCGCCGTGCCAACCGCACAGTTCACGCTGGTCCGCACTGGGGGTTGCTTTCCTCTGCCGCAGGTGCACAGCCTCTGCTCTGGTGGATCCCTGCCGCCCTGGCAGCAGCGGGTCATGGGTGGCCGCGGCCCCCTGCTTTCCTGGGGCAGGGCCGGGGGTGCCTGGGGCTGTGTCGTGTGGCGCGGAGGTCAGACACGGGGTTTGTTTGGGCTGGTTTGGACGGGGCTAAAACTGCGTCGGGCAGGGCTGGGACTGGATGTGACCCTGCCGGTCCCGGCCAGCCCCACGGCTCTGCGATGCTATGATCCGCTACCCCGGACAAGGCCTGGTTCACCTGCCTGCCCTCAGGCCCAGGCCCAGATTGAGGAAGAGAAAATCAAAAGCAGCCCAGCTGGGACTGTACCCTTTGCTGGGTGATCCCAGGGTAAAGACCATCAGGATCCCCTGGACATACAGCATGTCCTGGCCGTTTCTCTGGTCTGTGATCGAAGGGGCCCCAGCCCCAGAAGGACGAGGAACAATCGATCAGTCCGGGGGGAATCGTATTTATTGCTCCCCGCTCTGTGGGCTCTGCACACACACACCCGCTCGCACAAACACCCATGCACACGCCACCCCCGGCAGCACTGCGCAGAGATCGAGGCCGGGGCCACCACGCGCATGGCTGCACATCTGGTGGGGGGCAGGGGGCCAGCAGGCCTCACTTCACGAGTGAGGCGGTGTCTGCGCCCAGCCTGGATGCCGTGCTGGGCTCCCTTCATCAGCCCCTTGAAGTGTCCCTGCATCTTCGCCTTCTCCCTGTGGGAAAAAGATGAGGCGCAGGTCAGGGCAATCTATGGAAGCCCCTTGTTATTCTCACCCAGCAAAGGGTGCTGGGGGGTGATGGGGCAGGAGTTGGCTGTGGGAGCAGTTCCCAGCATAGGGTTGGGGCTGGGGAGGGTCAAGGGAGCTCCCTGATGCTCTGGACCCTGCAATGAGGCAGAGCCAGGTCACAAGAACGGCTCAAGGATCCAGGGAAGCTGGGACCCAACCCAGCTCTTGCCATGGCCCCCCCCTCCCCCTCCCACAGCCA